ATAGAATATTAATTCAAAATAGTAATCCATTTTTTCTGCACACAAGTAATCCATAACTTGGTGACAGACAGTAATTCACATTTATCTGTGGAAGAGTGGCAACAAAGACTTTGTCATAACTGCCTCTTCTGAGATTGTCCGAGGATAACAGATTTGTGAAAGCAAATACAAAAAAAATAAGCAAAAAAAAAAAAACAAACAACTGTTGAGAAATAAATCCTATTAGATCTTGTAATATGACTTGGCAGGGAGAGAAACCCACTGGGAGATTAGCAAACCAGTGAAGAAAAATATAGATTTACAATCTTAATTACAACAGCACCTCCTTCATGAATTCTGAAACATCTTCTCACTTACTGCATGTGAATAAGAGTTATGAGAGATGGAAAGAATTAGAGCCCAATTAAGACTGACAACTGCATTGTATGAAAATAGACAGGCATATACAAACATTTTTCTACGAACTGATGATGTGAGATAATTGTTTAGCTGTTTTGCAAATAATTTATCACACTGTAAATCAGACATGTGGGTGTAATAATTACTGTTATTGAGGTGTTACTCCTTGATATCTATTCTCAACGTGTTTTTTCCTCAGTAAAATATTACAATTAAATATCGTCTGATTTTAAAGATTGGACATTGGTTGATGCAATGTTAATGCAGTTAGTCTTTCATAACATACATGAGAATTGATGGGCTCATTCCTTCAGAGGGCAAGTAGCAGTGCATTAGGAGAGACGTTATAGGAGATGGGAGTGGCTGAGTTCTGTGCAACACCATTTAACAGCCAGGTAAGTTGGGAGTGGTGCTGGTTGCACTCCGATTCCTAACAGACATAACAGTTTCCAGATTGTGGATGAAGACTTAGGACCGCTGTGATGGGCATGCCCAATATGCCCCACTGTACCTTACTTTGGCTCTTTCATTTGGGAGAAAATCCAGGTACAGCTTGCAGTGCACCAAACTGAGCACACCCCTTTTTGAACTGCACTGTGAGGTTGCTACCTACACAGCTTCTGAGCACAGCCTATGCCCATCCCATCCGCACGTGGGAGGGACAAGCCATAGGTCATTAATTTTTTATTCATGCAGATTTCCATGGAAGGATATGACTAACACTTTAATGGCAGAATATGGCCCCAGTATCCTCATTAGCCATACTTAGACCTGCCAGGGACATCTTAATGTCTCCAAAGAAACTTAGAGACAGACCACTTTAAAAAAAGACCTGCTGAATGAATAAAATTAGGTTTAAAATTAACTTTGTAAACCAAGTACAGTAGAACTTACTTAGTTTGAACTCAGCTATAATGAAACTTCATTTAAGTTCATTGACTTCAAAGGGATCTAGGGTCTGGCCTTTTCCAAAAGTCTCAAGTTGCTTCTATGCATTTCAATGAATTTCCATTCCTGCTACACAGACGCTTCACTATGCTTATACCCCCCAACACACAGCCTGAATCCTATACCTAACACATAGCCCATGCTCTAAGGCCCTGATCCAACAAAGCATTTAAGCATATGTGGAACTCTAAGTATGTGAATAGTCCCATCAAAGTCAAGGAATTTGTAAGGAAATGCATGGCATTTCAAGTACAAATCCTCTTCCAGGTTGCAAAAAGTCAAAAAATTCACTTCATAACCAGTACTTCAGCATCAGAGCTGCACTCCTGTTCACTGGGAGGAAGACGGTGCATAGATACGTATGCATGTAGCAAAACATGCCCAGATTCTTGCCCTGCCCTGCCCCTGATCCTGCCTCTCCTGTGTGGTTAGGCCTGGGATGCTGTGTTTCTGACAGGGGTGCCAAAACTCTGTCTTGCAGGGGGAGGGGAGTAGAATTTTCCCCGTAGTGAAATCCCACTGTGGTAATCCTTTGGGAACACAGAAATTATCAGTGACCAAATAAGTATTAAATACTGCACTGCAAGCCTATTATCAGGCTGAGCAGAGAAGGAATGGGAGAAGTTGCCACAAGCGAGCTGGGAGAGGGCTAAGGAAGAGTCACTAACTTCATACTTAATGCAGTTGCTCTTCATTAAGAGTGAAGGACTAGCCTTTCAGACAGGAAGTGCCCCCACACTTGAAGGGGAATAAAGGAAGTGCCCCCAAGAGACGGGGCTATTTTGGCAGTGAGGCCTTTTCCTGTTACACTGGAACAACTCTGCTTACAGTGATGTATTTTTGTGAAACAACGATTTCCCTACAGATATGTTCTAGTCATATCTATATTTAGATCATCTATAGCTGTTCATAGTATGAATATGTTGTTTGTTTATCATGTAACTTTGACTCCTTCACCTGCACTCTTCCCATCCATCCATCTCTGTTGAACGTACTTTTAACATATCCCTCCTTTTGGGCAGCTTTCAGCAGCCACTGTATGTGATTAATTTTGCCATTCCAAACTCATGCCAGTAATATGTCCCCTGGCTCTCTCTGTAATTAACATGTAATAGACAAGTTTTGACATAACTTTCATGTACTGAATTACTTCCCTGTGTTGCGCACTTTAGAACTTCGGAGTTTGTGCAGATTCTCCTTTTAGAGTCTCCTGTTGTAACCCCTCCTATTATTTAATCCTGTCCATGTTGGTTGGTGGTATGTTTTGTCAGCAATGGGCTGTATTTGAGTGTGTTTCTTTAGTAAAGTTCAGAACTGCTACAATCCTGACACTTCAAACTGTTCAAATGTCAGCTTCAACTCTGAGGGCAAAATGGTCACACACAAATATTCAAACAATGTGCGGTGTAGGTTACAACAAACACATAGGAGGTCATGACTCTCCAGAATAGATGGAAGAGCTCTAGAAGGCCTCAAGAAAAGGAGTTCCTCTACACAACAATTTTTGTTGTACCACACCAATGGAAATGTTCTTTCTGGATTTCAAGAAGCATCTCTTAAAAATGCCACATCTGGTAGCATTAGCGCTGAGTGCACAGAAAGTGGGTGCCATGGCATATCTAGACTCCTTTCTAAGAAAGCAAAAACTTCAGTCAAGAATGTTACCAGTGATTGTCTCAGGTGGAAAATTATAGCTAATTAGTGTATGCAGTTGACACATTGATATTAATTTCCCAGAGACTGCTTCTCAGGTACCAGATTTATGGATACAATACAGTAATTCCTGGAGTGGAGTTTCTTTTGTTGTCAAAATAGTTTCTACCTGTTTCACAGAATGTATTGATTTAGGGCCTGATCCGAACCCATTGAAGCCATTGGAAGGTTTCCACTGATTTCATATTATGGGCAGTGGATCTGGCCCTGTTTGAGCACTTTGTAAGAACTCAGGAAAAAGAATCCCATCCAAAATATTTAGATAACTAAAGAAAGGCATGTGGTACTATTTTCCATAATATTCCTTACTGTCTCAGCGCTGCGTGGAAGAAAGTGTTCATGCTCGTTTTCCCATAGGGACTGGAAGGAATCCTATGAAATGATTATTTTCCACATGAAAAGAACAGAAAGTATTTGTACAGGCTTAGGGGTAGCAAACCTTTCAGGGGGAAGGTGAAAAGATGGTCGTGTTTTATGTATGAAATGTTCCAAGCTCTCAAGGAAGAGAGCTGGGTCATGTAAATAAGCAGTGACCACCAGGCTATCTGGATTCTCTACTAAAAGGGGACCTGATCCTGCAAACCTTTGCTTTCCTACATAGTATTAGAATCCAGTCCTGCAACTACTTAAGCTAGTGAGTAATTTTACTGGGGTGACAAGTCTGAGTAGAATACTTGCATGAATGAAATTACTTACATGTTTTGTATTGTTTCAAGATTATGCTCTTAAGGCAATGAAATGGTACTGTGTGATTTAAGCACAATTTGCAACTGGATTTTTTGGATTTGGCCCAATGTCTCTTATTACTCAACAACTGTTTTGCCAGGCCACAATGGTGGTGAGTGGTCTGCAAAGCTCAGACTGAAACAGCAGATGAGATTTAGAGTTATACTCTGAGTCTTGTAGAGACATGAAGGCCCCAGAGAAGACTGGCATGATGGATACTGCTGCAATCAGAGTTCTGGGGAACTCAATAATGTATCCATTTGTCCAATTTGTATTATGTCACTTTAATTGGGAGAGGCCTTAAAATAAGTCAGTTCAGTGATAGTGCTTCTGATTCAAGGAGGATTATAGCCTATAAACTATGGGAGGAATGCCATACTTCAGCAGTTTTAACGATACAGCCTTTGGCTTCAAATGTTTGTGACCCAAACCAATTTATTATTATTGCTTCTTGACTATTTGTATTTGTTCTGACTTTTTTTTTTTTTGGCCGGGGGAGGAAGGATGGCAGGTGGATGGTAGATATTTATTGCTGCATACTGGCAATACATTTTATCTTGAAGGGGCATTCACCTATTAACCACTTGTGAAATTGACCCAAGGGTAATGTCACAGCTGATAGATAACCAGGAGACCTAAGATCAGTCTGTGACAAACATAACAAAAATCTCAAGCCAAGGGCTAAAATCGCAGTGGAAGCAGAGTTTCTCCTTTACAGTGCCATTCAAACTGGAAGCAAGCAGAAGCTTGTGCATGGTATGGGAGAGGTACCAAGCGGTGACTCTGCTCCCAGGTGATAAACTCCTCCCGACAAAGTACCGACTCGGGAGGTTACAACGCAGATCTGCGGAGGAGGAAGAAATAGACGGGGTCCCCCGATGTGAGAGCTCGCTGCACTCAAACTTGCCCAAGTCTGGCCTGAGGGCTCTCTGCTCGCTACAGTGATATTTCGTCCGGTTCAAAAGTTCCCTTCTTGGGGAAGCTGTGGGAGGAAGATCCCCTGGGGGCCGTGGCGAAGACTAGGAGCAGGTCTTGTGTCTCAGTGGTGGGGGTGGCTGTTGGCTTTTCCTCCACCCCATTGCTCTCCCCTGGGGGCTCCCAAGTCAGCGCCCACCAGTTTGGGATTTATCTTTCCTGCGTGGACCGCTTTTCTTAACCTTCTTCTTCCCCCTTCATCCCTGCAGCATCTGCCTCAGCCTGGTCCTTGCGCTGCCGAGCGAAGGGGCCGGGTAGAAATGCCGGGCAGCTCATCGAGCTGAGAATGCAGCTGCCCCTGGCGCTGGAGCGGGGTAGAGGGAGGAAGGGGGAGACGCACCCAGCGGCTGGGATACACCGGGGGAAAGAGAATGAGGAGAGGAGCGGGCGCCCACGCACACACACACAGGCGGAGAGCAAGGGGACACACGCACACACACACAGTTCTCGAGGCGCGCAGCTGCACCCAGAGTCAGGCACCCCACGCCCAGTGCCCGAGACAAAGAGTGACAGAGCGGGGCACAGACACCGCCCGAGAACCGGGCCCCGGGGCTGAGATGCACACGGGAGAAAGCGGGGCCGAGGGGAGACAGGCCCCCGCCCACACTGACTGACAGCGGGACGCGGACACACACACACACAGACCGAAAGACACAGACACACTGAGATTGTGACAGACGCCTCAGGGACTGGCAGCCACACACCGAAAGAGGCTGATACGCACACCTGGCGCCTGAGCGAGTCACACACACAGGGTGATCACACACACACACAGTGATTACACACACACACACACGGCGATCTCACACACAGACAGGGCCATCACACACAGAGACAGGGTGATCACACACACGGCAATCACAGGGTGATTTCTCTCTCTCTCTCTCTCACACACACACACACACCCCGTGATCGCGCACACCCCTCCAGTGACAGGGAGGACGCCAGGCTCCGCTCCGCGCGGAATCTGAGCTCAGCAGCAGCAAACCCGCCCTGGGTCTGGTCCTTTTCTCTCTCTCTCTCTCTCTTTCCATCTGGTCAAACGGCACCTACCCAAGCCCTGAAAAAATGCCTGCCCGTGAAGCGAGGAGAGGGCGCCGGGTCTGTAAATAAGAAGTGAGTACTGGCACAATGGCGTGTGTTTCTAGATCAAAGTCTGCCTGAATGCTGCATGCTCCCTCGCTTTCCCAATGCCTGCCTCCTCGCAGGGGGGACCCAGAGCTGCTCAGTCCCTCTCTTCGCCCCTTTCCTTCCTGCGCCTCCGTCCCGGATTTTGCAGGCTCGGTTAAACAGCCGCCTGCCTTTTGTTTCTAACACTTCTCCTTTGTCTAAGGTGGGTGTAGCTTCCCCTGTCCGGGAGGGTCAGGCTGGGCTCCGGGCTCCCACCCGGACCGTTTCTCCAGCCAAACCCCGCTCTGCAAGGATGCCTTTTGCAAGGGCTTTAAACCCAGCGCATCCTTGCGAGCTTGCTGCTGGGGAGAGGAGTGAAGGATAGGGGCAGGGCCCGTTCTGGCTGGAGCGTCCACGTTTTGCCCCTCTCGGGAGTGTGAAAATGCCCTTGTCGACTGCATTATCCCATTTCCTGGCAAGGTGGATGGGTGTCAGCAGGGGGCTGGGAAAGTTGATGGGAGGGATGCAGAGCATCACTGGGTGGATCAGTTTAGGTCGCCTCGCAGCCATCCTGTTCTCCTTTGTTAGCTGCATTCAGCGGGCTTCAGGAGTGTAGCAGGAAAAGTGGGGGGCAGGTCTGCCCTTCTTCATGGTGCTAGGATTGTGTGTGTCTGGAAGTGTTGAAGCTAGGCAGAAAGAGGAGCAGTTTCCTAGTCTACAGCACGAGGCTTGGTGTAGCCTGAGGTGCCCCCAGTTTTGGGTTTGGACAGAGGGTCATGATAATGTAGTAGGAAAAATTCCGACTGGCAAGGGGAGTTCTGACTGAAAGGAAAATGTGATGGCGCTCCCGCCCCCTTCCCCCCCCCATCACAAATCATGTCAATCCCAGGAGAGAGCACAGCTTGAAAGAGCAGTTATTAAACCAGGTGTCCTTTCCAAATTTAGCCACACACATCAATTTTTGTACAGGGGCATATCAGTAGCCTCATACAGTATTCCATGCCCACTACACTTGAAGGGTATTTGCATTCTGGTCTGGTGCTCCCGGTTAGTTAGAACCAGATTCTAGTTTTCTAGGAGCTGAACAGTAACTATACCACAGCTGTGCCCCGAGTCACGAGCGGAGCTTTTTCATTTGGGGCTGCCTGTTCATCCTCTAACCCTCCCCCCCAGGGTTCAGGTCCACTGTATTAATTTCGTAGGTCTGCCTTTCTTCTGACCTGTATTGCACGTTTCTTTGAGAATGTGAGTTCCTGTAACCCTGTAGGTTAACCTCCAGCGGGTGCTCAAGAGAAGATCCTATCCATGTGGAAAATGACACTCCCTCCCTCCTCTGGGGCATGCCCAGCTTCCAGAGACCTGAGAGAGAGACTTTTGAATCTACATTTAGAAGTAGGCTATCCCCACAACAGCTGAAAGTGGTGTTGCAGCCATTCAAAATATATTAATCATTTTAAATATAGTATTGTTGCAATCTTCCCTCAGGAGACCTTTAAGTGTACTTGATGTGGATTATTTTTATCTAATTACTAGTGTAGTTAGGTGTAATCACATAAGTTATGGGTCTACTTGATAACACACTCAGGTGATCATTACTGTCCCAGTGGGTTTCTTGTAGCAGTAAACAATCAAATATCCTATAATAAGATGATTGACTTTTCCAGTAGGCATGCACATGTGTTCCTGGTATTTTCTAAAAGGTATTTTCAAAGTGTTAGGATTAATAATGGATTATTTTTATAGTTACCTGTGTGGGGGGAATTTGGAAGTGAACTGCAAATATTCTAATGAGTATCTGAATTCAGAGTTGAGGGTATGTAAGACTTAAGGAAAGAGTCCTGTTTTCCTGATAGTTTTTTAATGCTGAACTAAAATGTAGTCTGAGAAGCATATTAGCAATGCCTAAGATTATTCAAGATGTGAGGATGCGCTACTGAAAAATACCTTTTTATACTGATTTAAAGGAACACAAGAAAATAGGGAAAATAGTGCATGTTAGAACTACACTTGCAGAGTATTTATAGAGGACATATATATATATATATAGTAAACAATGCAAGTGTGTATGCATGTGTGTACATATAAATAGCATATTATTAGTCCTCGCAGTTGCTGAAACCAGTAATTCTATAGTAATATAACATGGTGTACAAGTGAAATGCATTTATAACACAGTTATCTATGAACTCTATTTTGAATTAATAGGATCTCTGTCACCTTCTGGCAAGAAGCGTGTACAGCTAAATACACCTCTGTCCAACGCTGTCAACGTTAACATTCTTTTTCTGTTTTATTAGTGGCGGCACCTGACTTGCTGGATCCCAAATCTGCTACTCAGAACTCCAAACCACGGCTATCATTTTCTACAAAACCCACAGTGCTCTCGTCACGGGAGGAATGTGATTCGGCTATTAATGTTATGAAATGGAAGACGGTCTCAACGATTTTTCTGGTGGTTGTTGTATATTTAATAATTGGAGCCACTGTCTTCAAAGCCCTGGAGCAGCCACATGAAACTTCCCAAAGAGCCACCATTGTGATTCAGAAGCAGACGTTTGTATCTGAGCATTCCTGTGTGAATGCATCGGAGCTCGATGAACTAATTCAGGTAATTCATGCAAAAAAGTAACTTGTTCCTATGTTTTAAAAGAATGAATTCTTCTATAGCAATGGTTCTCTAATAAATGGGACACTGCTGTATCAGCACGTGAGCTGCAAATGTAGCAAGAAGTCTAACTTAAGACAGAAAGGTTGGCAATAGCATTTTCAAATGAGGCTTCAGCTGAAAAGTCATTGCTGATTTTTTTATGTTCAGTGTGCATTATAGACAACTTTTAAATTGAATGTGCCTGTGCTAATTAAATGACTATTCATTAGCAATATGTATTATTTAATAGTTCACAGAGGAATGGGTGTATTGATTGAGCTAAGTTACTGGCTTTGTCAATATTGGGAAAGCAGAGCATGGCCAACCATTACCTTAAGAAAGTTCAGATTTATCATTACTTTAGCAAACAATTCTCTTTTAGCTGTACATTTCTTTCCACAGTTTCTTATTTTGAATACAGCAAAATAATATTAGCTAGCTATTTCCATTACAAATCTTGATTTTTTAATTTTTTTCCAACATTGAAAGGCTAAATCCTCAGCTAAATCAGTGTCACTCTGTTGAAGTCAGTTTACACCACTTGATGATCTGGCTCATCATAGTCTCTGGTGTTTCAAATTGCACCGTGAACTCAGGGGTTGTACCTTATAACTGGAGAATTGCAAATTTAGTACTTATATTTAAGAAAGGAAAAAAAGTGATCTGGGAAAGTACGGACCCATTAGTTTGGCCTCAATTGTATGCAAGGTCTTAGAACAAATTTTGAAAGTAGTTAAAGACATAGAGGTAAAAAAGGCAATTGGGATAAAATATGACATGTTTTTACAAAAAGTAGATCACTGAGAAGATAACTGATTTTCTAGACAAAGGAAATGCATTAGATGTAATCTGTAATCTGGATTTCAGTAAGGCGTTTGATACAGTTCCACAGGAGAAATTATTAGTTAAATTGGAGAAGATGGGGATTAATACAAGAATCGAAAGGTGGGTAGGGAACTGGATAAAAGGGAGACTACAACTGGTCATACTGAAAGGTGAACTGTCAGGCTGGAGGAGGTTACTAGTTGAGTTCCTCAGAAATCGTTCTTGGAACCAACCTTATGTAACATTTTCGTTAATGACCTTGGCACAAAAAGTGGGAATGAGCTAGTAAAATTTGTGGATGACACAAAATTGGGATGTATTGCCAATACAAAGAGGACTGGAATGTCATACAAGAAAATTTGGATGACTTTGAAAATTAGAGTAATAGAAATGGGATGAAATTTAATAGAACAAAGTGCAAGGTCATGCACTTGGGGACTAACAGGTAGAATTTTTGTTATAAGCTGTGGACGTATCAGTTGGAAGCAACAGAAGAGGAGAAAAACAGGAATGATGATGTGCTGTCAATATGATGCAGCTGTAAAAAAGGTTAATGCAATTCTAGGCTGCATCAGACGAGGTATTTCCAGTAGAGTTAGGGAAGTGTTAGTACTGTTATACAAGGCACTGATGAGACCACATCTGGAATACTGTGTGCAGATCTGGTCTCCCATGTTTAAGAAAGATGAAATCAAACTGGAACAGGTGCAGAGAAGAGTTATTAGGATGACCCAAGGCCTGGAGAAGCTATCTTACAAGAAGAGACTTGAGGAACTTGGCTTGTGTAACCTAACCAAATGAAGGCCGAGGGGAGATCCGATTGCTCTCTATAAATAAATCAGAGGGATAAACACCAGGGGGGGAGAGCAGTTATTTAAGTTAAGGGCAATATTGGCACAAGAACAAATGAGTATAAACTGGCCATCAATAAGTTTAGGCTTGAAATTAGATGAAGGTGTCTAACCATCAAAGTAGAGCCCTGCCGTGGGACTGGGATTCCATAGGACTCGCTGCTGTAATAGTGGGAGCGGGTAAAATGTTTTGTTACCGGTGGGATTGGGTGGGCAAAAAAATCAGACTATGGTATTTTGTGGGAAAACATTAAATCTCTCATCAGTTGGTCATAAATAGAATTTCAGCAGTGCAAAGCAAGTTTTTCTTTTTTAGTAAATAAAGGTTTTAATACTTAAATTTAAGTAAGAGATTGAAAGAGATTAATGTCTATTATAACAGGAGTTAAAGTGTTTTTTTACATGGTTAAAGCAAGATTTGTTTTATTATTTTAGTGGTAAAAATTGTGTCTGAATTCCATTTATATATATAACATATTAACCAACTGTGGTGAGGTGGGTTTTTTTGGTAGCACGGGGAAATCTGTCTCTGTTGTGGGATTTGCAGAATCTAAGGTTTTTGCAGATGGGAGTGGGATAAATATAAAAGAAACAATGCAGGAGCAGGTGGGAGTAGATATTTCAGGGCAGGATGGGAGCAAGATTAAAAAAATAGTCCCATGTAGGGCTTTACATCAGATGAGTGAAGTTTTGGAACATCTTTCCAACAGGAGTAGTGGGGGACAAAAATCCTGACTTGTTTCAAGACTGAGCTTGATAAATTCATGGAGGGGATGGTATGATGCGATTGCCTACAATGGCATGTGGCCCATCCGCAACTGCTATTAGCAAATATCTCCAGCAGCACTAGATGGGGAGGGCTATGAGTTACTAGAGACAATTCTTTCCCAGGTGTCTAGCTGATAGATCTTGTTCACATGCTCAGGGCCTAACTGATCACCATATTTGGGCTTGGAAAGGAATTTTCAAGATTGGCAGAGACCCTGGTTTGTTTGTTTTTTTGCCTTCCTCAGCAGCGTGCGGCCTGGTTCATCTGCTGGTTCGAACTAGAATAAATGGTGAATTCTCTGTAACATGAAGTTTTTAAATCATGATTTAAAGACTTCAGTAACTCAGCCAAAGGTTATGGGTTTATTAGAGGAGTGGGTGGGTGAGATTTCGTGGCCTGTGATGTACTGGAGGTCAGACTCGATGATCACGGTGGTCCCTTTTGGCTTTAAAGTCTCCCAGACACTTGTTTTACTGCAAATTTTTAAGGCAGAGGACTGATTTACCAAAGTTGTTTTTCAAGTATGTTATTTTTTTAAGTTAAATTGGTAAAACATGGAAAATTTTTATAGTTTGGGAATTTTATTTTTTAGTCAAGTTGGGTTCCAAAAATGGTAGCCTTTTAAAGTTATTGAAGCTATTCCTTTCTCCCTGCACCCTACAATACTTTTTTACTTTAGAGCAAGTTCTTGTTGTGAAGTGTCGTGGTGCTGAATTGTCACACATAGCTAGAGATAGTCCTTCCTGAACACAGCTGAGGTATGTTTGGCCTAAAAGTTGTGGGAAGATAATGCTATGCACCTTGTTAGGGTAAATGGAAGACTTCGTACCCCACTGCTGTCAACCTAGTACCTTTGAACAGATACTAAATTACTGAAGAAAATAACCTGGCTTTTCTGAGTATGTCTGATTCTTAATACAATTTTTATATAGCATTTCTTCAGTTCTGATTACTCTATGTGAATACAAAAATAATGAGTGTGATGAAGAAAAAGTAGTCACATCAGTGTGAATGATACTTTAGAAATCCTCTAAAGGATATATGTCTGAAAATAATGCATACTACAGTATTAGGTAGCTGTAATGGTTACCAACCTTTGGTAACTAACATCAATGGTTAGTTGTATGTGAAGAAAATTACAGAACATACACATTACAATATTCTCTTTAGTCTTTACCTTTACTTCAAACTATAGTGAAACACTAAACTTTTGATTTTGAATTTAGTGCTCTAGATATTCACTCTGATTTGTCACTAGCCAGAGCTCGGACAACTTATGATGCAAGGGTCTTCCAATCCAGATCAGTTCTGACCTGCATAATTTGGTTATCCTAGTTCTGGGACAGTCCTGAGCATCAGAAGTTTCTAATTGGGGTCAATCCTACTAAATTGTGAAGTGGTTTGGTGATATGAACATACCAGGAGGACTAGATTGAGAGCACAAATTCAGCCTAGAAAGGATTTAAATTTGTGTTTACCCAGAAAAAATTCACTAGCCTAATAGTGTCCATCTAGTTTCTCTTTTTCCTAATAAAAGCTTCTCTTTGCCATGTGACTTGTGTCAAGGTTCCTTCCCACTCTGAACTCTAGGGTACAGATGCGGGGACCTGCATGAAAGACCCCCTTAGCTTATTCTTACCAGCTTAGGTTAAAAACTTCCACAAGGTACAAACTTTGCCTTGTCCTTGAACCCTATGCTGCCACCACCAAGCATGTTAAACAAAGAACAGGGAAAGAGCCCACTTGGAGACGTCTTCCCCCCAAAATATTCCCCCTAGTCCTACACCTCCTTTCCTGGGGAAGGCTTGATAAAAATCCTCACCAATTTGCATAGGTGAACACAGACCCAAACCCTTGGATCTTAAGAACAATGAAAAAGCAATCAGGATCTTAAAAGAAGAATTTTAATTAAAGAAAAATTAAAGAAATTAAAGAAAAAGTAAAAGAATCACCTCTGTAAAATCAGGATGGTAAATACCTTACAGGGTAATCAGATTCAAAACACAGAGAATCCCTCTAGGCAAAAACTTAAGTTACAAAAAGACACAGAAACAGGAATATACATTCCATTCAGGACAGCTTATTTACCAGCCATTTAAACAAAAGGAAATCTAATGCATTTCTAGCTAGATTACTTACTAACAAGTTCTAATACTCCATTCCTGTTCTGTTCCTGGCAAAAGCATCACACAGACAGACAGACCCTTTGTTCCCCTCCCCTCCCACCCGCCCTCCAGCTTTGAAAGTATCTTGTCTCGTCACTGATCGTTTTGGTCAGGTGCCAGCGAGGTTATTTTAGCTTCTTAACCGTTTACAGGTGAAAGGGTTTTGCCTCTGGCCAGGAGGGATTTTATAGTTCTGTATACAGAAAGGTGGTTACCCTTCCCTTTATATTTATGACAACTTGTTATAATACAATATAATGCACTCAGGCCACGGTATCAGAAAATATCCAAAATACCCCACAGCAGTTCTTTTGTGTTAACAAGACTGTATTAATGCCAACTATTCAGCAC